GGAATACAAAGAAAAACCCCCTCAGGTAACCTTAGGAGAAATACAGGCTGCTCTGGGAAAAAGAGGGTGTGGTTGTTTTAAGGAGCACAATATGAGGACACTTGAACAAAAATGAGCTGCATGGTCGAGTTGCCAGAAAGAAGTTTTTACTGCACCAAAGCCACAAAACATCCTGGTTACAACATGCCGGACAAACACCTTGACACGCCTCACGGCTTCTGGCACACTGTAACTTGGAGTGACGGGGACCAAACTAGAGCTTTACGGTCACAACCATAAGCGCCATGTTTGGAGAGGGTTCAACAAGGCCTATAGAGGCAAGAATGCTGTCCCCATCGAGAAGCATGGTGGAAGCTCACTGATGCTTGGGGGTGTGTGTGAGCTCTAAAGGCACAGGGAACCTTGTGAAAAATAGGATGGCAAGATGAACGCAGCGAGTTATCAGAAGATACTGGCAGACAATTTGCATTCTTCTGTTCAAAAGTTGCGCTTGGGACGCTCATGGACTTTCCAGCACGACAATGACCTTGTGAGAGTGTGGTGATGTCACGATGTAAAAAGGATATTTTACATATCCGATCCATTATGCTCAATCCGCAGATCCAATCCATTCTGCGGGGATCGTCGGAGGGGGTGTCACCAAGTGTTATCGTACCGGGTGACACCAACCCTAGGGACGCCCCTGCAATACACAGCATAGAGGGGATAACAGATACAGATCTCCTGGGGTTGGAAGGAAGGTAAGTGCTCTCTAGAAGATGGTCCAAGTCCTCCCCTGCAGAGCCGGCTCCTTGTCCTTGTTACATTGTATCACTAACAATAAAATCATTCTTGTTGTAATAAATTGCTGTTAGCGTCTCATTTACATCGCACATCGATTCGCTTTCCACGTTGTTATTTATAATTCTTTTTTATATTTTTCCTTCTTTTTTCTTCTTTTTTTTAGGGGGGGGGATGCTTGAAGAAGAGAAGAAGGAAGGAAGGAAAGAAGAGAAGAAGAAAGCATAGAGAAGGAAGGAAGAAGAGAAGAAGGAAGAAAAGGGAAGGAAAGGAAGAAGGAGGAAGGAAGGAAGGAAGGAAGGAAGGAAGGAAGGAAGGAAGGAAGGAAGGAAGGAAGGAAGGAAGGAAGGAAGGAAAGGAGGGGAAGAAAGGAAGGAAGGAAGGAAGGAAAGGGAAGGAAGGAAGGAAGAAGAAGGAAGGAAGGAAGGAAGGAAGGAAGGAAAGAAGGAAGGAAGAGGAAGGAAGGAAGGAAGGAAGGAAGGAAGGAAGGAAAGGAAAGGAGGGAAAGAAAGGAAGGAAGGAAGGAAGGAAGGAAGGAAGGAAGGAAGGGGATGAAGAGAAGGGAGTGATGAAGAATGTAAGAAAAAAAAGAGAAGGAGGAAAGAAAGAAGAAAGGGAGAAGAGAAATAGGAAGGAAGAAAAGGAAAAAGAAGAAGAAAAGAGGAAGAAAAGAATGAAGGAAGAAAAGAGAGAGGGAGAGGAAGAAAGGAAAAAGGAAGAAGAAGAAGGAAGAAAAGGAAGGAAGAAGGAAGAAGAAAGAAGGTGAAGGAAGGAAGGAAAGAGAAGAAGGAAGGAAGGACGAGAAGGGGGGAAGGAAGGAAGACGAGAAGGGGGGAAGGAAGGAAGGAAGGAAGGAAGGAGAAGAGGAAGAGGAAGGAAGAGAAGAAAGGAAAGAAGGAAGGAAGGAAGAAAAGAGAATGAAGGAAGAAGAGTAGGAGGGGAGAAAGGAAGGAAGAAGAAAGCAGGGAGGGATGAAGAGAGGAAGGAAGAAGGAGGGAGAAGGGAGGGATGAAGAGAGGAAGAAAAAAAAAGGAGGAAGGAGGGAAAAAAGGAAGGAAGTGATGAAGAATGTAAGAAAAGAAGAGAAGGATGGAAGAAGGAAGAAGAGAAATAGGAAGGAAGAAAACAAGTAGAGAAGGAGGAAGGAACGAGGGAAGAAAAAAAGGAAGAAAAGAAGTAGGAAGAAAGGAGGAAAGGAAGAAAAGAGAGGGAGGAAGGAAGGAAAAGAGGAAGAGAAGGAAGAAGAGAAGGAGGAAGGAAGGAAGAAGAGAAGGAGGAAGGAAGGAAGAAGAGAACACTTGGTGACACCCCCTCCGAGGATCCCCGCAGAATGGATCGGATCTGCGGATTGAGCATAATAGATCGGCATTCTGCGGGATCGTCGGAGGGGGTGTCACCAAGTGTTATCGCACAGGGTGACACCAACCCTAGGGACGCCCCTGCAATACACAGCATAGAGGGGATAACAGATACAGATCTCCTGGGGTTGGAAGGAAGGTAAGTGCTCTCTAGAAGATGGTCCAAGTCCTCCCCTGCAGAGCCGGCTCCTTGTCCTTGTTACATTGTATCACTAGCAATAAAATCATTCTCGTTGTAATAAATTGCTGTTAGCGTCTCATTTACATCGCACATCGATTCGCTTTCCACGTTGTTATTTATAATTCTTTTTTATATTTTTCCTTCTTTTTTTTTTTTTTAGGGGGGGGGATGCTTGAAGAAGAGAAGAAGGAAGGAAGGAAAGAAGAGAAGAGAAAAGCATAGAGAAGGAAGGAAGAAGAGAAGAAGGAAGAAAAGGGAAGGAAGGAAGGAAGAAGAAGGAAGGAAGGAAGGAAGGAAGGAAGGAAGGAAGGAAGGAAAAAGAGGGAAGAAAGGAAGGAAAGGAAGGAAGGGAAGGAAGAAGGAAAGGAAGGAAGGAAGGAAGGAAGGAAGGAAGGAAGGAAGGAAGGAAGGAAGGGGATGAAGAGAAGGGAGTGATGAAGAATGTAAGAAAAAAAGAGAAGGAGGAAAGAAAGAAGAAAGGGAGAAGAGAAATAGGAAGGAAGAAAGGAAGAAGAAGAAGATGAGGAAAAAAAAAATGAAGGAAGAAAAGAGAGGGAGGAAGAAAGGAAAAAGGAAGAAGAGAAGGAAGAAAGGAAGGAAGGAAGGAAGAAGAGAAGAAGGAAGGAAGGAAGAAGAGAAGAAGGAAGGAAGACGAGAAGGGGGGAAGGAAGGAAGGAAGGAAGGAAGGAAGGAAGGAAGGAAGGAAGGAGAGAAGGAGGAAGAAAGGAAGAAGAGAAGAAAGGAAAGAAGGAAGGAAGGAAGAAAAGAGAATGAAGGAAGAAGAGTAGGAGGGGAGAAAGGAAGGAAGAAGAGCAGGGAGGGATGAAGAGAGGAAGGAAGAAGGAGGGAGAAGGGAGGGATGAAGAGAGGAAGAAAAAATAAGGAGGAAGGAGGGAAAAAAGGAAGGAAGTGATGAAGAATGTAAGAAAAGAAGAGAAGGATGGAAGAAGGAAGAAGAGAAATAGGAAGGAAGAAAACAAGAAGAAAAGGAAGGAACGAGGGAGAGAAGGAAAAGAAGTAGGAAGGAAAGGAGGAGGAAGAGAAGGGAAGAAGAGAAAAGAGAAGAGAAGGAAGAAGAGAAGAGAAGGAAGGAAGAAGGAAGGAAAGGAAGGAAGAAGAGAACACTTGGTGACACCCCCTCCGAGGATCCCCGCAGAATGGATCGGATCTGCGGATTGAGCATAATAGATCGGCATTCTGCGGGGATCGTCGGAGGGGGTGTCACCAAGTGTTATCGCACCGGGTGACACCAACCCTAGGGACGCCCCTGCAATACACAAAATAGAGGGGATAACAGATACAGATCTCCTGGGGTTGGAAGGAAGGTAAGTGCTCTCTAGAAGATGGTCCAAGTCCTCCCCTGCAGAGCCGGCTCCTTGTCCTTGTTACATTGTATCACTAACAATAAAATCATTCTCGTTGTAATAAATTGCTGTTAGCGTCTCATTTACATCGCACATCGATTCGCTTTCCACGTTGTTATTTATAATTCTTTTTTATATTTTTCCTTCCTTTTTTTTTAGGTGGTGTTGGTGGGGGGGGGGGATGCTCGGGAATGACGCACTCCTGGCTTTCTTCCTGATGAAAGGGCCGGCGCCCAGGAGCGCGTTCCTTGAAGATGAAGCGAGCCTTCGTTGAAGCGAGCGTTCCCTGGGTTGGCATGTGAGGCGGCAGCGTGTTGCTTATGTGTTGTCATGATATGGCAGATGTGACATGCACTTTGATATGCGTGTGCCTGCGCCCTGTATGTGTGCGTTGTGTGAGAGCCGAGTGGGGAGTCTCCTGCGTGCTTTTTGTTTTTGTTTTGTTTTTTTGCGGCGGTTTTTTTTTTTTTTTTTGAAGGCGCCGTCACGGTGAAGGGAAAGAGACCGCCCCTCCCGGCATCTCGATGGGGCTGCTCAATCTAATGAGCCGCCTGTTTATTGTTCTTTGGGCTGCCGGGGGATGAGGCTTCTCCTCCATAATGAGGTCCCTGTCACCGAGACCCTCCTGACAGCCGATGGTAATTACCAGCGAGGCCCCGCACAACGAGACGCTGTTTGTGCAACTGTCACTGGCAGCCCTACTTGTTGACTGTAGATTAACCCCTTCAGGGAGGGGCGCTGAACGCCGCAAATGTTATAATTACCCCTAAGTGGGATTATTCATTGAGGGCCCCATTCACATTCATGGGGGGGGGGAGGGAGTCCTGTACTGGGACTGGACTCCATGAGTCAGGATACAGTAAGACAGTTCCCGGGTCTGTACACTCGCTGTGCTCATTATAAGGGGTTCCCACCATCCCTGTGCAGAGTTCCCGGGTCTGTACACTCGCTGTGCTCATTATGAGGGGTTTCCCACCATCCCTGTGCTGAGTTCCCGGGTCTGTACACTCACTGTGCTCATTATGAGGGGTTCCCACCATCCCTGTGCTGAGTTCCCGGGTCTGTACACTCGGTGCTCATTATGTTCCCACACCCTGCTGTTCCCAGGTCCACCTGCTGTGCCCATTATGAGGGGTTCCCACCATCCCTGCACTGGATATATGTATTTTATATTAATGAGAATGTAACAGGAGGAGCTGGAACACACAAAGGTGGGTGCCTAATCTCCCAGGTGGACAGGAACAGAGCCAGGAATTATAGGTGGAATATCTCCAGCTCCAGAATATCTACCAGCTCCTCCCCTCCAGTTTTGCACAGGTGTACTGGCTCCTCCCCTCCAGTTTTGCACAGGTGTACCAGCTCCTCCCCTTCAGTTTTGCACAGGTGTACTGGCTCCTCCCCTTCAGTCTTGCACAGGTGTTCTGGCTCCTCCCCTTCAGTTTTACACAGGTGTACCGGCTCCTCCCCTTCAGTCTTGCACAGGTGTACAGGCTCCTCCCCTTCAGTCTTCACAGGTGTGCCGGCTCCTCCCCTTCAGTTTTGCACAGGTGTACCTGCTCCTCACCTCCAGTCTTGCACAGGTGTTCTGGCTCCTCCCCTTCAGTTTTGCACAGGTGTACTGGCTCCTCCCCTTCAGTCTTGCACAAGTGTTCTGGCTCCTCCCCTTCAGTTTTGCACAGGTGTACTGGCTCCTCCCCTTCAGTCTTGCACAAGTGTTCTGGCTCCTCCCCTTCAGTTTTACACAGGTGTACCGGCTCCTCCCCTTCAGTCTTGCACAGGTGTACAGGCTCCTCCCCTTCAGTCTTCACAGGTGTGCCGGCTCCTCCCCTTCAGTTTTGCACAGGTGTACCTGCTCCTCACCTCCAGTCTTGCACAGGTGTACCGGCTCCTCCCCTTCAGTCTTGCACAGGTGTACCGGCTCCTCCCCTCCAGTCTTGCACAGGTGTATTGGCTCCTCCCCTGGACTGGAATGGCTTCCTCTGATGTCACTGCACACTGTGAACTTCTCACAATAGGCATTAGAAGCTGCAGCCAGTCAAATAGAGCTCCGCCTCATTTCTTGGCTGGAGGACGTCGTGCATCATCTAGTCTTTTACTCCCCAGCCTGACTGTCCCTGACCCCGCCCCTTTCATTCATTGGATTTCAGTTCTTTCAATCATTGAGCCTCTGCATAGCTCCCAAATGTTCCTGATTTCAAGGAACTATCCCTCAACATCACATGTGGGCTTTAGGAGTGAAGAGAGGATGAAAAGAGAGAAGGGATGGAAGAAGGAAGAGGAAGAAAAAAGGGAATGATGAAGAATGGAAGAAAAGAAGGAGGAAGGAAAAAGGGAGAAAGAAGAAGAGAAGGAAGGAGGAAGAGAAGGGAGAAAGGAAGAAGAGAAGGAAGGAGAAGAGAAGGGAGAAAGGAAGAAGAGAAGGAAGGAGGAAGAGAAGGGAGAAAGGAAGAAGAGAAGGAAGGAAAAAAAGAAAGAGGGAAGAAGGGAAGGAAAAAGACAAGGGAGGGATGAAGAAGAATAAAAAAGAAGGAGGGAGAAAGGAAGGAAGGGGGAGTGATGAAGAATTTAAGAAAAGAAAGAAGGAGGAAAGAAGAAAGGGAGAAAGAGAAATAGGAAGGAAGAAAAGAAGAAGAGAAGGAGGAGGGAAGGAAAAAAAATTAAGAAAAGAAGGCGCAAGAAAGGAATTTAAGAGAAAAAGAAGGCGAAAGGAAAGAAAAGAGAAGGAAGGAAGAGGGAACAAGAGGAGGAGGAAGAAAGGAAAAAAGGAAGAAGAGAAGGAGGAAAAAAGGAGAAGAGAAGGAAAAAGAGAAGGAAGAAAGAATAGAAGGGAGGGATGAAGAAATGAAGAAAAAAGGAGGAAGGAGGGAAAAAGGAAGGAAGGAATGAAGTGATGAAGAATGTAAGAAAAGAAGGGAGGGAAGAAAGAAGAAAGGGAGGAAGGAAGGAGGGAAGGAAAAAAGGAAGTAGAAAGGAGGAAGAAGAGGAGGAAAGAAGAAAGGAACAAAAGGAGAAAGGAAAGAAGGAAGGAAGAAAGGAGAAAAGGAAGAAGAGAAGGAAAAAGAAAGAAAGAGAAGAGAAGTTAAGAAGGAGAAAAAGAAAGGAAAGAAAGAACAATCCATGATTCTCTGTGTTCAGCAATCAGATTATATTGTTCGGTTGTACATTGGAGTGAACTCTCCCTGACTTCTTCTGTGCTAATTAGAAGCCGCTGACACTTGTGCGCCCTCCGGGGGTACAACACTTTTCCACTACATGGAAACCACCTGCAGCTGGATGAGTGAGACTCCAGAGACTGCCTGTTAGAGTCCCCAGAAGATTCAGTTACTGATTTAACCCCTCACTGTGAACGATCAGCTCTGGATGGATCTGGTAGCAATTGAACGCCTTGTTCTTCTTCTTCCACACCTTGAGGTGCAGTCCTGGCCCCTCTGCGGTCAGTGGCCCCCCTACCCCCGGGTGAGGTGTACAGACCTCCCGCGTCTCCCACTCACCTTCCAGGGAGGTGCCCTCTCTTCCTCTCCAATGTTTCCCAACACATCCCGGATAATTGCTCTCCAGTGGAGCCTCGGCTCCGGGTCAATTAGAAGAGCACGAGTCAATGAATTGGAACAAGTAGATTAATTGCTAATCCATTGTTGGTGTTTTCTAATTGCTTTGGGGCGAGCGCGCTCGGCGGTGGTTGGGGGTGAACGCGCGCGGCGGTGGTTGGGGACGGCGCGCTCACAGGTGGTGCATTTCCGATGATCTAATTAGGACGCGAGGAGGGCTATCGGGGAATGTTTGAATAACTCACAGGAGGCGGCTCGGCGCTATTAATTGTGTATCCGCATCAGATCCATCATCCGGAGGAGACCGGACTCACCTGTAACTACACTTCCCAGCAACCGGAGGAGAACGATGGCCTTCCCATCACTTCCCATCCATCAAATAAAAATCTGCGCGTGTATTGGAGGAGATAATACCAATCAATTGATGATCAATCGACTAATAATTGTTATCAGGTCTTTTTTTTTCAGCGAATAGGTGCAGGTACTCCCCTCTTCTGGGTCATCCCTTGGTTCAGCCCCCTACCCACCTCTGAGGATCGGGCATTTGTTCCACCCCCTACCTACCTCCCAGTCCCGCCCCTTTTAGAGTATATAGAACCAAGTATCATTTTGTGGTGCTGAGCAATTTGTATTGAATTGAATTGGTTAATAATAAGAAAAATAGTAAAATAGATCCCTTGCAGCCAGCAACAAGAGACCCCCCAGTAACAATAGACCCACCCAACAACAGAAGATTCTCCAGCAATATGACATCTACCCAGCAACAATAGATCCCCCAGTAACAATAGACCCCCAGCAACATTAGATCTCCTAACACAAAAAGACCCCCTCAGCAACAATAGAACCCCAGTAACAATAGATCCACCCAGTAACAACAGATCCCACAGCAATATGACATGGCCCAACAACAATATCTCCCCCAACAACACTAGACCCCCAGCAACATTAGATCCCCCCCCAACACCAAAAGACCCCCTAGCAACAATAGATCCCCCAGTAACAATAGACCCACCCAGCAACAACAGATCCCACAGTAATATGACATCCTCCCAGCAACAATATCTCCCCCAGTAACAATAGACCCCCAGCAACATTAGATCCCCCCAACACCAATAGACCCACCCAGCAACAACAGATCCCACAGCAATATGACATCCCCCCAGCACAATTACTCCCCCCAGCAACAATTACTCCCCAACACCAATAGACCCACCAGCAACAACAACACAGCAATAGACCCCCCCAGCAACAATTACCCCCCAGTAACAATAGACCCCCAACACCAATAGACCCCCAAGCAACAATAGATCCCCAGCAACATGACATACCCCCAGCAACTATATCTCCCCCAGTAACAACAGATCCCCCAGCAAAATTAGATCCCCCAAAAAACAATACACCCACCCAGCAACAATAGATCCCCCAGCAATATGACATCCCCCCAGCAATAATAGACATCCTGCAACAAAATAACCCTCCAGCAACAACATATCCACCCCAGCAACAATAGACCTACTAGCAGCCAGCATTAATAGAAAATGGGTGGTGGATGGGTGTTCCAGTACAGGGGCGGACTGACCATTTGGAAACTCGGGCACTGCCCGAGGGCCCAGGGTCAGTAGGGGGCCCCATGAGATGCCCCTGGTACCTTTTTCATAGGCTTTTTTGAGTTTGGGCAAGGACACAGGGGCCCCATGATCCCGTATTGCCCGGGGGCCCCATGAGTTGTCAGTCCGCCCCTGAATGTAAGTTCACCGTTCAGGAAGATTTTCAGAAAATCCCCCCTAGGAAGTTCTACATCCAATGAATAGTGCACACCACAGCTCCTCCTGTTGGAAATGGCAAAGGTCCTCCAGATGCAGATGCAGCTTCTGGTGCTCCCCTCCAACAACAGAACTGTCCCCCTATTCCTCTCTGTCTGAATTTCACAATATGACGCCCCCTAGCGGCCTCTCAGGGTCATCCAGACTGCACGCATGTGCAGCATGTCCTCTCCAGGCTCCAGCTCAGTGTAGTAATAGCAGTTCTGGGTCCTTCAAACTCCACATGTGCTAGACAAGGAGCCCACGCACTACGCACAAGCACCGGAAAAATGTGTTAAAAGGTGAAAATGAAGGAAAAAGTAATCTTACTGCCAGCAGATGTGTTCCAAGATCACCAAGAGGTGTGTTCCAGAAAGATCCGCAGATGTGTTCCTGGATCACCAGCAGGTGTGAGCCAAGATCACCAATAGAAGTGTTTCAGGATCATCAGTAGGTGTGTTCCAGGGTCACCAGCAGATATGTTCCAGGATGGCCAGTAGATATCTTTAAGGATCACCAGTAGATGTGTTCCAGGATAGCCAGTAGATATCTTCCAGGATTATCAGTAGGTGTGTTCCAGGATCACCAGTGGGTGTGTTCCAAAAAGATCTGCAGGTGAGTTCCAGGATCGGATCACAAGCAGATCCATGACCATCAGTAGATGTGTTCCATAATCACCAGCAGATATATTCCGAGATCATTAGTAGATATGTTGCAGGATCAGCAGTAGATGTGTTCCAGGATCAGCAGTAGATGTGTTCCAGGATCAGCAGTAGATGTATTCCAGGATCAGCAGTAGATGTGTTCCAGGATCATCCGTAGGTGTGTTCCAGGATCACCAGTAGATGTGTTCCAGGATGGCCAGTAGATATCTTCCAGGATCATCAGTAGGTCTGTTCCAGGATCACCAGTAGATGTGTTCCAGGATGGCTAGTAGATATCTTCCAGGATCATCAGTAGGTGTGTTCCAGGATCATCAGTATGTGTGTTCCAGGATGGCCAGTAGGTATCTTCCAGGATCATCAGTAGGTGTGTTCCAGGATCACCAGTGGGTGTGTTCTAGGATCACCAGTGGGTGTGTTCCAAAAAGATCTGCTGGTGAGTTCCAGGATCAGATCTGAAGCAGATCCATGATCATCAGTAGATGTGTTCTGGAATCACCAGCAGATGTGTACCAGGAGCACCAGTAGATATGTTCCAGGATCATTAGTAGATATGTTGCAGGATTGGCAGTAGATATGTTGCAAGATCTGCAGTAGATGTGTTCCAGGATCAGCAGTAAATATCTTCCAGGATCATTAGTAGATATATTGCAGGATCGGCAGTAGATATGTTGCAAGATCAGCAGTAGAGGTGTTCCAGGATCAGCAGTAGATGTGTTCCAGGATCAGCAGCAGATTGCAGAGAAAATTAATAACTGGTTGAATAGGTCACATTTTTCACACAGTTGCATGTGCACGAACGTTTACGTGAACACATTAATCCATGCAGGCATGCTGTGTAGATGTACTGTATGTGCATTTAGTTGAATGGGCCCGCATGCCTACCCCGAGTCTTGGCGGCAGTTGCCCTATTTAAGGAACAG